CCCAGTTGCTTCCACTTTGTGATAATACCACTAACAGTGGACCGTGGAATATTTAGTAGCAAGGAAATTTCACGGAACACCTGAATCCAATGATTTGGAGGGGCGTCTCAATACTTTTGGCAATATAGTGTATATACACATAGACCATAGTTTTGTAGACTGTATAATGAACACATTCTAATTAATTTACACTTATTTGGATTTTTTTAATCAAAGAAATGTAACAGAATACATTTTGGCCTGAATATATGAAGAAAGATATAATTTATTGACAATGTTTCATTAACATAATATAATGAAAACAGGGGGGTTGTTTCAAAATTTTCTGTATTTTTTTCTTTATATAGTAAAAAATAAAACCCCCCAGTGGTGATTATATACCACCAAAACAAAGCTCTATCTGTCCCCAAAAAATGATAAAAAATTAATTTCAGTACAGCGTTGCATGGCTGATAAATGGCAGTCACAGTGCTGCCGCGCTGAATACTGAAAAATGCCCTGGCCAGGTAGAGGGTGTAAACACCTGGTCTTCCAGTGGTTAACGTGTTCCTAAACCCAAAAACTTAATATATTGCAGTTACAAATACATCGATGTATACGATGTAATACGTTGGTGGCTGAATAGGTTTTCGTCCATGCTGATTACCTTTGTGTGCACCTGGCGATCCTGCCAGTAACACTTTGTTTCCTAGGATGGCAATGCTCATTTGCTGTATTGTTTATGCTCCCCAGTTTGAATTTCAAACACTTCCCCTGCTCCATTACATAGAGGAGTATTGCTTTGTAGGCCACAGAAGATAGCCAAGAAAGCAAATAAGAGTGTTTGTGATTTCAGTTTAGTCTACAGGAAGTTAAAGGGTTTGTAAACCCTCCGTTTTTTTGCCTATATCTACTGCTTACAAGCATGTTTAGTTTACTAATTTGTATTGAGATTGAAGTCCATCACGGGAGCAAGCTTGGAGCGAGGAAGGACATTGTCAGCATGACTTCAGAGATGATTTGAGGATCTACAGCCGAGTGATACACAATAATCTACATGTTTGTTAATAGTTAAGGTACTTGAATGCATTTTTAATGTCAGTTTAAAGAAGAAAACTAATGTAGCCACCACATATAATGATTTGTAATTGCAATATGATACATGGTTGTTTTGGGTGACCTTAATTCCTGCATAACTTCACAAAACATTTTAAATGCTGCATATTCCTAACAACACAAGTAACACATCGGATAATCAAATTGACTAAATAGTAGGGATGAACCGATACCGATACTAGTACTGAGCATTGTGATGGCTACCCTGCTATTTGGGAAGCCAGGTGGTGAGTCTTTACATGCTGCCCAGCTTCCGGCTAATCAGGAAACCAGGTGGCAAGACATTACACGTCCTATATGTCAAACACCCGGTAACGGGTGTGTTTAATGGTCGGGTCTTTTCTGCCCGTGCGTGCCTGCAGAAAATAACTGCCGTCTGGAGACGGCAACCCGCAAATGCAGCAGTGCCGTCCGTCCGTTTTTTTACTACGGGCGGACGGCAAGAGGTTAATGGGACTTCCGGTATCGCCGAGTACCAAAAAAAAATATCGGTACTCATACTCAATACCGGAAAAAATGTATCGGTGCATCCCTACTAAATAGTATGATTTCAGTAGCGGCGTAGATTTCCTGGTGATAGCCAACCACTGCGGATGGTTCCATAGCAACACATACCAGACAAACCATAAATAAAAACTTGCTTTATATACCCTTATTATGTATTTTCTTCAGAAACCATACCCATTATTGTAGTAATACAATTTTCTGGAACAGCACCACCTATCAAGAAGAATAACCTTTTTAGTCAGTTAGGACACTGCCCATTACCTTTGAAATAATTGGCTGTGTAGTTGTCTTTAGATAATGAGGAATGATCACTAGCTTGAGGCTGTGCCTTAAGACCTGACTGGCACGTAGAACTGGTTCTACACACTTGTATTCGAAGAGGGCTAAATTAGAACAGAAACAAAGGGAACAGTCCAGTAGACATTGGCTGTCTTTAGGAATAAACACAATAAAAACAGCACAGCCTTAGTAGACCAGATAAATGTAATGAATACAAGTTTACAGTTCACATTTTCTTAGGCTGACAGAAAGGATGACATAATACTAAATAACAGCCGTAAAGACAAATGAAAAGTTTGTTCAAGTATGATATGTTTACTTGTATTTTGCTTGTATTTTGATACTCATACACACTGTTTGGCCAGTTTGGCAGGCTGCTGATGAACCTACAAGTATGTGCCAAGGTGTAGAAAGAAGCTGGGGAAAGCCACAAAAACACAGGGAGTACCTTCAAATTCTATGCATATAGTGGCACTAGTAAGATAAGAGCTAGCATTGGTGTACCGACCACCATAGCGACCCACGCAGTCACTATGGGGCCCGGTCAGGACTCAGCAGCAACGGTCCGGTGTGGCAGCGGAGGTGGAGGAGGCCAGGGCTGACAGGTAGGAACTTTACAGCGACATCCATACAGCTTTGCTGTTTTTTTAATCTAATGAATGCGGTTTTATGCCAATGATCTTCTTTCATCTGAAAGGCTCCGGCATTCATAAAATATTCAGTTTTTGTGTCCCCGCACAGCCAGGAGGGGCCACAGCCGGCAGGTGAGGCAGAGAACATGCAGAGAGAAGACCCCTCATTGCCATTCCCGGCTGTTCTCCTCTCTGTGCCCGCTACATTTGTGTTTTTCGAGCCATCAGGATCCGTCAGCTGCTTGGCAGGGATGATAGTGAGGATGGAGATGATGATCAGGATGATGGTGGAGATGGTGAGAATGGTCAGTCAGGAACGGAGAAAAAAGGGGGAGGAGCTGTATCCGGCTAGGGAATGCCGTGCGCCGTGTGAGAGGCTTGTGAAAAACGCAGTTTTTCAAGTATTGTGAGGCTTGAAAAAGAGGTTAACCCTCGAAACGCATAGCCACTGGAGATACCCGACAGTCATAGACTCTGAGACCAACATTGACGCACGGCATTTAGTAGCCGGATACAGCTCCTCCCCCTTTTTTTCTCCGTTCCTGATCGATGCGGCTCGGCCTGCCGAGAACGCGGGCGGCCACACGGACCCCCAACAGATCAGCCTCTCACACCACCGGGGCTCCTCGACCTAGGACCCGTCAAAGGAGGGCGCCACACGGACCACGGGGGAGTCTCTAACCGTAAGTCTGTTTGCCATAACATTGCTGCATACACCCAGATTCCACACACCAAGATCCACCAACATTTCTCATCACATAGATCCATCAGGCAATATCGAATGTATTCACGTCACTTTTGGTAGTTGCGCTCCTGTCCTTTTTGTTTTGATCTGCAGTTGTGAATAGACAGGGTCCTCTCCCTGTAGCGAGGAGCTTCGCACACCTACAAACAACAGCCTTCCAATTGGAGTTTGCCCACAGGAGTGCGCTTTATCCTTTTTTTGAGAATGGTCAGGAAGCTAAGGATGGAGATGATGGTCAGGATGGTGAGATGAGGATGGTCAGAATAGTGAAGATGATAGGAATGATGAGGAAGTGAGGATGGTCAGAATGATGAGGAGCAGTGGCGTAACTACCGCAATATCGACCCACACAAGGTGGAGGAGGCCGGGGCTCACCAGCGCTTGGCTCAGGGCTGACAGGTAAGAGGAGCGCAGTGTGCAGGGAAAGGAACCCCGACCAGCCCACCTGAGACCCTGCAGAGCCCACCATGGAGAGCCGATGGTGGGCTGTGTAGGTTCACTCTCAGGTGGGCTCTGCAGGGTCCCTGGTATGTGCTTGGTCTCAGGTCGGCTCTGCAATGTCTCTGGTATGTGCTGGGTCTCGGGTGGGCTCTGCAGGGTCACTCTCAGGTGGGCTGTGTGGGGTTCCAGGTGAGCTCTGCAGGGTATCTGGTATTTGCTGGGTCTCAGGTGGGATCTGCACCAGTAAGCGACAGAGTGATCTGTGCTCCGGCTCTCATGTCAGAGCCAGCAGGATCAGAGCTGAATAGAAGGAGACAGCGCAGGCACGTAAACATGTTCTGG